TAGCAGGATATTGCCGACAGCTGCTGATAACCGAGACAAGCTCTTGATTCAGCCTCATTCCAGCAGAGACGTGTGAAAGTCAAGCATCTCTGAACACACAGTGAGACGTGTCTGCAGCTTCAGACGATGAATACATTATTCATCAGAAAAAAATCTAACGCTTGCAGACCGGGAGGCATCCTCTTTTATGAAAACTGGTCAAACTCAGGCCCTGTGGCACAAATGATTCTCTGCTGAAAGGCATGCGAAATAACCAGACACGAACTCCATGTAAGAGTCACTGTAGGTTTGAATCTAGAAATGGAAAATACACAGAAACTCAATACTTTGCATTTTTAATGCATTTTTAATCCAATATTATATTAAGTGTTTCTGCTTTTTTAACACAGCGGTGATCAGAGCAACCAGGATGCTGAAATAAAGGTTGGATGAACCTGAATATGCTGCACATATGAAGCCAGACACAGGCCCACAAACAAAAAACACACTACACATTAACACTACACACACAGATACAATACAAAAATCTTGTGTGCTCAGAGAATATAAACCTAAAGCACTAATCAGTATTTCTCTGCCCTCAATTAGCTCTTTCGGGACATTTCGGCAAATCTCTCGTTTTGATAGCAATTATGTTAGGCATGCTGGGCTGAAATTTCATTTCATAATTAAAAACTCTGAGCTGTGAGAAATGCAAATCCCCCATCAGACTGAGACAGGAAAAGTTGCCTTAACAGGGAAATCCAGTCCTTTTTCTAGGGTAAATCTTTTTGGTAAAAAAAAATCATGGCATTTCATTATATGTATGAATATTCTGTGTTTCTCTGATTTAGAGGCCCAGTGTGTACAATTTAGGAGGATCTATTGGCAGAAATGGAATACAATATTCATAGGCATGTTTTCATTAGTAAATATTCACCTATTTTTATGACCTTAAAATGAGCCATTATCTACACAGGGAGGGACCTCTTTCATGGAGGCTGCTGTGTTGAACATGTTCCTGCAGTAGCTCAGAATGGACAAACCAAACACTGGCTTTAGGTCGGGCCTTTTGTGTTTTTCGAGTATTATTTCTCCTACACTACTTGGAAGGCTGAGCTGTATTCAAATGGTTGCAGTCTGCAACTTTACCTAGATGTTACAGATTCCTACACACTTGTCCTTTAAAGGCCAGATTTAAAAAATATGCTTAGTTAATTGGCTTTTTCCCAACACCTCAGTATTGAAATATCATTTTAAAGAGAAAAGCACAAAATAAAAAATCTGATCTTGTGAGTTCCAATGCCTCGCAAGGTTACCTGATTCCAGGAGAAAAGACTAAAGGTCATGAAAACACATCAATATGATTGTACTTACTACCCTCCAGTTCTGTAACATAAAATTGCAACATCCGAAAAACAAACCAATAATCCACCAGACGCATGACCCATATCAGCAAAGCCTTTAAATGTATGCTCACACAGACCACCCAAACAACACACACACACACAGACACACAGGATGACATATAGAGGCCATGGCAAGGACATCATCTATCACGTACAACATCCCAACTAAAACAGACATCAACACACACACACAGAAACACACACACACACACACACACACACAGAAAGACATATTTCAAAGAGCAATAAATACTTGACATCAATAACCCAGAGGATCCTTCCTCTGTTTGCTTTACAAACTTTGAGTTTCATCTTCTTTATCTCACTGGATCAGCTCAATACAACACACATAACAGTAATATACGCTAAGCTAACAGTACACCTGCATAATCCAATGCAGTCTAATACAACCTGCAATAAATCCTACCTTTGTCAAGCTTAAAATGTTAAATCATTGATAATTTCCTTGTATATTATATTATAAGGTAATTTAGGTTTGTAAAGCTGTATCTAATAAACTGGTAAGCCAGTTTAATTGGATATACACATAGCTATGATGTCTAGAAAGAATTTGTCATTTAAGATAAACAGATCATGAAAATCAAATCAAGCTCTTCAGTGTGTGCGATGTGTTTGCCAAGGTGTTCTCCAAACGGTTATATAAAGAGGATTATTACACAGCATCTCAGACGCGCGACCCTGCCACCCCACCATAAATTCAAGGCGCTTGTCAGGCAATCGCAGCAGGAACGTGACAGCCTGAGCGCTGCACATTGGCGTGTCTGAGGCAAAGTGATCATAAGGACTTTAATAACTATCAGGAAGATTTGTACTTGTCAAAGGCTCCTTAGATATAACATCCCATTCTGAGCGCTCATAAGCAGGGAAATAAATCTTTCACTCCCAGCCCACAAAAATATCAGCGATATATCAAAACATAAATGACCTGCAGGACTGAAATTGATTTTTTTTTCCTAGTAGCTGTTTAGGTTCAATCAGCTCAATCAACTAGATGTCAAAATGCAATATGGAAGCTCATCTATGACAAAAGTAGATTATTAAAATCCATTATAGCACCAGAAAGTGTTCTGGACACTAATCATCTCTAACTATTTATGTCAAACTGATTATACATATACATATATATACACATATCCCTACACTATTTATTTTTCCCAGGGTAACATACACAGACTGCTGAGGTTGCAGACCTGGACCCATGGACCCACAAAAGGTGCGTCTCCTAGCAATGCCGGCCCTGACAGTAGACCGCTGTTATGGAAACGCCTACCCAAAGGCTTGAACCTACAAATATGTCCCAAAACATTTTTTATCTTCTTTTGAAAACTTTCAAATTTAAAAAAAAAACACAGATAAAAGTGAGGAGAATTCAAATGTCCATTCAACTTTAAAACAAACGCACAATTGCCACCTGAACCAGCTTATAGTAGCTGGTATAGCTAGGGCTGCATGCCAAAGTCTAAATTAAAAATGAAACATTATAATGTAAATCCAAGCTGTTTTAAACCAAGCCTTTTATGAGGCATCTGGGTATAGAGTGGGAGTGGTTGTGTTGGAATATGCTTACACAGACTGAATTTTTCAGAAATTTACAATTGGCCAACCCAATTCAAATTCATTACAGCTGTCAACAGAGATAAGCAGTGCTTTCATGTCCTCTCAAATGTACATGTTCTCCCACCTCGAACACACACAAATCCAATTATGTTCTAATTGAGTGTTACAAGGCTCATTGATTATGACAGAGGCAGTGCAGCAGACTGAGCCGGAGAAAAATATCCCTAGTAATTAGCCCCCCTGAACCCAGGAGGCCTTCGGGTGGCATGATTTAACATTGAGGCAATATTTCTCAGTATTACTCAATATGAATTGACTTTGCCAACGATGAAATGTTTATGGAGCACAAAATAAAGAATAACCAAGTTTGCCTTTCAATGCAGATACAATGTGATTAGTTTAATTCATCTGAGGAATCTTCAATCAAAAGCAGACTGGGTTGAAAAACTGCCACAATCGTGTTAACTCCAATTTAATGACAAATAAAAGTTTAATTCAAATAATGACTATTACAGAATCTAATTCATTCTCTGTATACAAACAGCTGTGATAGCAGATTGCTAACTCAGTTACATATTATTCAGAAGAAAAACTGCAGTCAGCTAGTTAATAATTGTGATGATAGGCTTTTATCATGAGTTCATTTCCTCGTGAGTTATTTGAAGTCAGCATTCAGTGACATTCTTCATCTGACAAAACTGACTGAATTACTGGGAAACATCACTCAGAGCAGGATGTACTCACTTGCTTTTATGGAAAGGTCAGGACACGGTCATCTTTTCCTGGTGTGTGGACTCTTTAGGATGCATAAAAAGCTTGCACTTGAGATTTCCACTTCAATGTCAGAAGCAGGAAGCTAGACAACAGAAGAATAACAAAAAGTTCTTTAATTCAAACCGATGTCAATGTATTCACCAGCTGTATGAGGTAAAATCCTAAAACAGAATTTATGTTGTTCCTCTGAACATGAACAGGTCTCTATAAAAGGCCAGAATCTAATTTCCGAGGCCAATAAAGACAATCTTTGTCTCTGCAATACTGTGGATAATGAGTCAGTGGTGGTGCAGGGAATGAAAGTGGAGAGTCCTGTGGCTAAAATGCATTTGTGAAGGGCATCTTTGTGCACACAATCCTGATATAATGATGACCACAAGAAGGTAATGTCAGTAGTCACATCTTATATCATAAATGCTTCAGTTATTCAAAAATGTTCTGTTCCTTGGTTTGGAAAACTCCAGAGAAATTAGATATATACATGTCTCTTCTAACTTAGAAGTGACTATGGGCCCTAATATGACTGTGTTGATAGAAATCTTCTCCCTGACCAACAAAGACAAACTGATATAAGTATGGCAAACAATCCCTCACCAGCTTTGAGATCAGCTTCTTGATTTGAGCCTCTCACAAGCAGAGCCCTGTCGGTGAAACATTAAAGGGTTCTTGTTCTTACAGAAACAAGAGAAACGCAAGAAAACATGATTAAATTCATCTTAAAATAACAAATGTGCCACTTAACTCTACTGTACACTGCTGACTTTAGGTGGAGTTGACCTGTGCAGTGGTATTCACTGCATTGCACAAGTGTCCATTTTGCAGTGACTACCACAGACATGAATAAGTATTCACTTCCACCTTTATGCTGCAATATAAGATTTATGTGTCACTGCTTGTGACTGTTACATTGATGAAACTATGACAGGAACAATTCTGAGATGTCAAAAGAGCAAAAAACCCAGCAAGGTCATTGAGTACTCTCTATATACGTAACATTAAGACACAGCTAAAACAGAAGCACAAACTTTGGAATAAAAGACTAAAATATTAATTTAATCCCCAAAAGGGCAACCCCAAATGACAAGGGTTTTATATTGTTTGCTTGTAATTTAATGAATATACTGCAAAATTTCATCATTCTCTTGAACTTGACCTCATCAGTGACCACTATATGTTTCGCAACTGCAACTTGCATGCAGCAGCACTTTTACAATGTTCTCACCACAACAAGATAGAGAGAGTTCAAAGTTCCAACCAGACAATGCATGTGAGGTGTCCAGGAAAAAGAAAAGTTGCTCTTGAGATTGTGGTTTTGTTTCTGTAATTACTGAACTTCTGAAAGGTGGGTGTGTGGTGGACATCTGAAGCTCTCAAAACCAAGAGGCAGACAGCAGAAGATGAACACAAGGTAGGATCCTAACTTCAAAACTATAGGTGGCTAAATGGCAGCAGTAAGCCATTGTTTGGGAGAATCAAATATGGCCAGGTAATGCAAAAGATGCAGTTTAGTTACTGAGCTGTAGGTGCCAGCAGTTTGACGTTGACCTCCACTTCTACCTGGCGCTGCAGCACACCTGCAGGCGGTCGGTAAGTATGGCTTGCATCTCCAAGCTTCCAAAACTGATAGCTACTGTAGCTATTGTTGCGAAAAGTCATTGATAAATATTTATCTTGAGAAGCGCACATGATTCGAATAATATAGGCTACATGCGTAAAAACCAAATAATTAAATTCCCGATTTAAGTGGCAGATGGTGCAGTAGACTAGACGTGGACCGAGGGGGGACAGGTGACTAAGTTACCTGTTGCGGCGCTCAGGCTTAAAGTCTCTTTGTTGTCAGACGATCAAGCTCAACTTCAAAGGCATCAAATTTGTCCATGATATCTGTATGAAACCGAATACAGAGGACCTGGCTGCAGCTGCGCCTCCACTGAAACAAACGAGACTATCATGCGGAGCTGTGGGAAGTACAGTGGTTTGCAGTGTTGTTTAAAATAGTGGGAAATAAAATAAAGTGTTTAAACCCGATCTTCCGGATGAATGCCTACCTATTTACCAGGTGAAATTAATTAATTCAATATTGTTGAATTAAGTATCTGTTTAATGGTTACAGCTTGGGAACATTTGGGTTCAGAGTTCCTGAGTGGTGATATTGTGGATATAGAGATACATAAAGTCAATCTGAAAAGATCTGAAAAGCATCTTCTTTAAATGAAATGTTTTAGCAGCCCTAATTGAAACAAGGGTTGAGCCAAGAACTTAAGGTCGTCAGTTTTAGTTTTTTTATTGTCTTATCAAGGATTATATTAACCTCTTTTTTTTTTTTGGTAAATCAGTAATTCAATTGTTTGTTTTTAGAAGGCTCCCATTTCCTACAAAAGGGCTTTTGAGCTGACTTCCTAAACCTGAAACTGTCTGGCCCAATCAAACTGCCTCTCTGTGATGTAATTATAACTGTTCAAAGCATTCTTTGTTCAGTGACCCCTCTATTTCCTGGGCTGCTTTTTCTTCAGGAGCACATTTGATTTGGTGGCTTACTATGCTTGAGAAAGCATGTTTTCTCAGGAGTGTTAGGAGGGAAAGTTTGTTGCTTTTTAAAGAAGTGTGACTGTAATCCTGGCATAATGAGTCTATCCTGACATGGAAGCAGTGTTGCAAAACTGACTGGGTCTCCCTCTGCTGCAGTTGAATGCAGACATGTGGCACAAGATAAGCTTTTCTGCATAGTGGTGCATGTAAACATAGCGATGTCAGTGCATTTGCTGCTGCCTTATTAAACCTGTTGCAGAGAGAAAATAACTGGAGCTGGGGTGGCATGACCCTTGACCTTAGCCTGTCTTTGTAGCACTCACATGCTTGTGCTTACGTTGAAGGTTCTTTGGGATCATTTTCCTCTCTTCATAGTGTTGTCTTTAATTCTCTTTCTGTAGGAAGAAAATACTGCCACCCACATACGCTTTTCTTAAGAAATAAATCATATTTCTGAGCTCTTTTAACTTTTTTTTTTAGTAAAATGAGACAACAGTAGAGGAGAAGCAGGGTATAAAAAGAGAAAAAGATTAGAGTGAAAATTGTGATTTAGTAGAAAGTAACCCAAACGTCTGGTGTGATGGGCAAGTAGTCTGTTACATATTAAGTAGGACTTAATATGTAACAGATATTTGTGATGACTCAGGAGTCAAGATCCAACCTGTCATGTGAGTTTAAGACATGTAAACAAAGTCATATTATATGATTTTTCAATCAATCTGTGAATGTTTTTTAATGAAAAGATCAATTGGTCTATAAAATGGCAGCGAATGGTAAAAATGTGCATATATATATATATATCACTGAACTGGAATCATAGAAAGTTTGGCATTTATGCTTACTAATAAAATAATGATGAATTATCAAAATTGTCCGTGAGTGATCTTCTGTTGCTCAACTGATCATTTAATCAGCTAATCATTTTGGCCAACATTGGTCAACAGGAAAATAGGAGGCTGGCTTTGATTAAAACAACTGTGATAACTTAAAGAAAATGTGGATTGACAAATGTAGCTTATTGTCTTAGGCAAATTTCTGATACGCTCAGGTCTACTCTCCTTTGTAAGTCCAAACAATGGAGAGCTGTCCACGTTTATTGTTGGATATTATTTGTGCTGCATGAGCTGACAAAAGACACCATTGGTATGAAAAAAAAAAAACTAAAAGATAAAGTTACTTTCCTCTGAGCAGTGTGACTGCACCTATTGTTAAATCCATTTCATTCACATATCATATTCGCATCATGTTGAAATCATACTTGTATGATCATTATCAGTAGTTTACTGGAAGACTTTCGTTACTATTTGGAAATTACCTGTTTTCCCATTAATCATATATTTCTAAGAATTTCTTTTGAACAACATATTAAAATACATTGATACCAAGTAGGGATTTGTGTTAGAAAATAGAAAATGGATTATTATTATATATTATGAAAATAAATAGATATGCCCTTGGACATCTTTATCTTAATTTATCTGCGGAAGTACTGGGTTGAATGAACCCTTCCTTGATCCTTATCAAGCTGAAGCCGCAGAGTTATGTAGTTGAGGGGAGTGGAGGTGTAATCTGACTGTCCTGAAAACGTGCAGTTTCTTCCATCCTGCTCTATTTGGTTCCATGTTGTTGTACTGGTGATTTACCTGGATTTAGCTCTGGTAACCATGACTGAAGGGAACAACCTGAGAATTTCCCTGTTATCTATGTGGAACTCCGCTCTGATAGGAAAGGCTCGTCGCTCCCAGCTACCCACACAGTCCCAGCTGGAGTTTTATAACTCTGCACACCTGACTACCAGCAACAGGTCCAATAACACAACCCCAAAAGTAGATGTAATCCCAGTAAGCCGCAGGTGGCCTTCCAGATTGGCTGCCCAGATCTCCACATTTTTCCCTCCTTTCTCACACTGCCCCCCTCTCACTCTCTTCCCAGGCTCCCAGTGTGGTGGTAACCCTCAGCTGAAATAGGGCCTTTGCAGGGTGGAGGCAGCACGCTGCAGCCAGGACCTGTCACATTACTCTGAGCTCTACAGTGGGACGAGGGCACCTGAATACAGGCTGTGAGGGGAGGGTAAGAGTGTGAGTGAGACTAGACCAAACACGGGTAAAGAAGGACACCTCTGCAGCAGCAACAGAGTCCAACTTGGGACTTAGGAGACACTTTTCCTCAAGGGGTTCGCAGCTGTGTGTTGCTAGAATTTCTGGTTAAAAGTGCTTTAGCTCCTTTGTAAGACTTTGGATCTGTTTGAAAAAGAGACAGCACAATGGATAAGGATGCTCTACTGGACTACGAGTACCCGGACCTGGATCCTTTGCCAAACAAAATTGAAGCAGAGTAAGTACATTCTTATCATCTATCTGAGGACTTGAGTTCTTTTAGTCTTAAATGTTATCCGCTTGATTTAATTGTGTAGCCTTTTTTTATTTCTGCCCGTTGTTTAGTGCATTAGTAGTTCTTCAAACTCTCGACAATTTTGCGAGTGAGATACCGCTCTCATTGAGATATTAGGTGACTCTTGGCACATTTCTGCAGTGCCAGTGTCAGTATGTGGTCTTGTTTCTGTTCAGTTCACTTTTCATATTACAGTAGAGGCATCTCATTTTCATGCCTTGGGGATGCAGGTCTTGTGGAAAGCTGTTTGGTTTTGCTCATAGAACTTATTAGAAAAAGACAAAATTAAAGTGTATTCAACCTAAAATAACTAATTGTTTTGAATGTTTTATTGTACTTTTTAGTACATAGGCACATGCAAATAGGACCATGCAAAAATGGACATAAGCATCATTCTTTGTCCCTGGCCCGTCCCACAATGCAACTGGGCATGTGCAGTATTTCCAGTTAGTTATTTTTGGGATGTTTTCTTGCATATATAAATAGTTTTTTCCATGTAAGAATGTCTCCATGTATACATTGATTAATAGAAAATAATATTTATAGATAATAATGTTAAACAATATGACAGAAATACAATGGATCAAGTGTCATTCATCATCAGCCACCTTGTTTAGCTAATACATGATCTGACTGTCTCACTATAAGTTTTAGCAAGCGGATTTGTGACCACTAAAATGTCCTGCTGCGTCTCCTTGTCAACCAGCTGTGACTCTGGAAATGTGAATTTCCACAATGCCTTAAATTTACAAATGGTCTGCTCTCTCTGAGTGCCAAGTTACAAATTCACACATTGTTTAGACAGGTAAGGGACTGTTGTGAAAAATGTCGAAACATCCATTGTGGAAGCTGCCATCTCTATGATCACAGATCATAAAGTATAGTGTAGTATTTTCCTAAATAAGTCTCTCAACCCAGAATACTTCATGTATGAGGCCTTCTCTGAATATCAGTTGTAATTACTAACCCATGACCAGGTAGTCCTGTTCTTACAGTGTACAGGAACATGTACATAGGCATTTGTTGTTGTTCCTGTGTCACGCTGATACCAATCCGTTTAAATGCAAATCTCTGCTGCAGGATTTCAGCTGCAAGTTTCCAACCACAAATGGTCCTGACAGTGACGTGTGAAAGGTTTAGTGAAGTGTCGGTCTGTTCAGTGACTCAAATCCTTGAGTTTAAGTTTGATTGTTTTGATCATGTGTGAATGTTTTGTTCCTTTTTTTTAAGAATAATCCCTCCATGTGACCCAACTGCTGATGACAGGCTCTACCACATATGCATCACTGCAATATCTGTAAGTCCGCTTTACTGTTGACACAACGTTACACTGTCCTGTCATTCACTGGCTGTATGATATTGCACCTTGTTGTAAGACCTAAAACATGTTTTTTGATGTGTCGTATGCAAAATTTGGCTGTCAATGTCAGCCCTGTCTCATGTTTCCAGTCTGTTCAGTTCTATTTTAGTTTTTTTTTTTTAGTTTGCAGGATATTTCGAAAACTTGTGAACAGGTTTTAATGAATTTTGGTGAAACGTTGGGCTTCGGTCCAAGAAATAAATTATATGGTTTTGATGCAAATGCAATAATATAATAATGATGGTGTCCCACATCATTATGTCTTTGTGGAGATCCTGATCTAAAACTGATGGCTTAATACATGTAATTTAGACAATGGTGCATCCTTGTTGGAGTAATTTCCTCCAAGTTAGTTTTTCCAGTTACGTCACACAAATCAAGTAATACAAAATTAATATATAATAGAGGGCAGAAGATTGGTAACCATATTGGTAAATCCTGACAGTCAACCAAACTAAATCCCAAAAGATCCAGTAATGTTGAAATGATTGCACACAATGTTTGTGTTCCTGTCTTCTGTCATGTTTACTTTATGATGTTTCTTGGTATTCATCTTCTTGTGTTTTTAAAGATGGCACAGACTGACCTAATTTAGAGCAAGGCAGTCTTCCCAGCTTTGTGTTTCCTAAATGTGTCACAGGTCAGGCTGGTCACTGAACTCTCTTTGGTCAGTGATCCTGACTGATGACAATTCATTCAGACCGCATCCATGGGGAGCACTAATGAGACACTGGGGTTTGGCCTTTTGTAGCATCAACTCATTTTTTGTCTGAAGAAAGAGTGCGGCCTGAACCCTGGGGAATCCACAGCTGCATACAACTCTGCAGATATGGCTAACTGATGTATCTTCTCCTCCTAGCTTGTTGTCATGCTGATCCTAGCAATCTTAGCCAGGCGCAGCAAAGTGGGCGACAGACAGAAAGGCCTCCCAGGTTTACTCAGGTGAGGCTGTATTTGATCTCTTTGTTTTCTTGAATGGCATAAACACTGGTTAAATGTGAAATCAAATACCTGCCGCCTTTCATGGGCCATACTAGTAGTTTTGCATGGTATAGCCCACTGAATTGCGTATAATTCACATCACTATTGACCATTTTTCAAAGCATATGGCAGATTTATAGATTGATTTCCTATTAACCTGGCAGTTATTCATTTCAGTATGGTATGTTCTATATGCAAACACTTTGGTTGAGCCATTGCATTTACATGTTCAGTTATGAGAACATAAAAAATATAAAAAACACAGTGGTAGAGTGTGATTCTAAAACCTTTTTGCAAATTCTTAAGTCAAAGATGTCTTTTGTTTCCAGAAATCACTCCAGCAGTGAAAGTTTTTTTTAAAAACAGTGCCTACTTGATCATAATACCACATAAGTTATCTGCACTAACTTTAATCTTTTGACTGATTGATGTACCCTTGAGAAAGTATCTCCCAAATCTGCTCCAGTGACCAACAGATAAAACTGTGGTCTCACAGGGTAGCCTAGGTGTAAATGTGTGTGTTTTTTGAGTTTTCATGCTCAGTGAACCTTCCCTGGATTAGTAGAGATGTAAAAAACAGATGCCTCTAGTTGATTTTCATACCATACTGACATGAATGGATAGTCTGAAAGCACTGAAAAGTAAGTAAGTCAGTAGTAATTAATTTGTAGTTTATGGGCAAACACTTAAGAAATACTTGTGCAGTGCTTTTGAAGTTTGTCATTTCTGCTCAATAACCATTTCATCCAAATGTGAGACTGGTAACATGTGGGCTCTAAATACCTGCTGCTTGATTTCACAGTCCGGTCAACTTCCTGGACCATACACAGCACAAGGGCCTTGCAGTGGCTGTGTTTGGAGTACTCTTGTGCAAACTATGGGGCCTGATCATATCGCCAAACCCCCTCCCCTTCACAACAGACACAGAGAATAAACGTGAGGAGTTCACCTTGGTTCTTCCTGCACTAGCATCAGCCTATCTGCATTCCTTTTACTATCTTCTATAGTAACTTTTTAATGTTTAGTAGTAAAATTTGTCACTTTTAAACAAGTAAATAGGCATCAAATGGAGAGACGTATCTCCATAAATTTTATTTTTGTTAAATATCTGTGTTATGTAATTGGATTATTTTGTTTCCATGTGTCTCTGACACAGGAGTGTGATTGCAAGCTTTACAAAAAGCTTACAATCACAAAAACTTACATAAGAATTGACTCTTTGGAATTGGTGTGGGAGTCAGTTCCCTGATACTTAACACAATCACCAAACAGTATGTGCAAGGATAAGCAGAGTATAAAATATAGTGGCAATTCAGCAAAGTTAGGTCTTAAATCACTCATAGTTTCTACACATATGTGTAGGTAGGTGTGTTGAGTGTACAAGTTAAGCAGAATTAGTTGTTGTTGGTGGTTCAGTAAGTAAATCAGCATACAGTATATTCCTTTGGATGTTCTGGGTCTTCACACACTTTTGTTGTATTTGCAGAGAGCTGGGTGATTCTGGGAGTCCTCTACTACCCCGCACTATACTACCCTCTCCTGGCATGTGGCACTTTACATAATAAAGTTGGCTATGTACTTGGTAGCCTCTTGTCATGGACGCACTTTGGCGTTCTGGTCTGGCAGAAAATTGACTGTCCCAAAACACCTCTGGTAAGCAAAGATGACTTTCAATACCACTATGAGTTCCAGTGCATCTATAACTGCTTTTATGAGACAGCAATAGATTTGTTAGAAATAAGGTGCTTCATACTGTTTTGATTGTCACTGGATTAATTGTCATTTTCTTTGTGTCATCTGTCTGAGGTTTAAGGATTAAAAACAAAGCTGATTTGTTCTGGTCTAACTCTAACCCTAACCCATTGATTACCAAACAAAGCAGGTCTCTGTGTGTATATGTATGTATATATATATATATATATATATATATATACATTTGTATGTGAGCTAT